AGTTAAGTGTCCTAAGGTAGGGTGCGAAATCCACATTGGGTGATACCAAAATCTAGCGTATGAATAGTGAGGAAACCTATAGGGTTAGAGGGCTGATGGAGGTAGTTAGAACCAGATGGTTTAAATGGGTACTCCCCTAGTTGGGGTGCAAGTACGGCAGATAGTATAGAACCTTCGGGCGAACTACTTAAATAGGCACTCAAAAGGTGCACGTGTGGCTTGATATACCATCGTTGTAATTATATATAAAACTTCATCTAAACTCTAATAAAAAGTTCCCCAGACCAAAGAGGTCACCTTAATACCAAAATAAATAAATAAATAAATAAATCAAACTATTGTAAAAAAAAGTGAATAGATGTGAAATTTATCTAAATAAATTTGTAACTTTTAATAATAAATAATATTCAGTATGTTATTCTAGTTATAATAGTAGCTAAATCATCAAAATTGGTTTAATATTCACTGAGATAGCTTAATCAAAATTTATATATAATATTTTGAATATTTCGATATAAAATAAATCAAACTATAGTAAAAAAAGCGAATAGGTGCGAAATTTATTTAAAAAAAATTTGTAACTTTTAATAATAAATAATATTTGGCATATTATTTCAGTTATAATGTAGTTAAATTATCAAAATTAGTTTAATATTTGTCAAGATAGCTTAATTAAAATTTATATATGCTGAATTTAGCTGATGCTGAATATCATATGATATTTCAGGCCAGAAATTGCAAATCGTGCCATGTATCAATTATACCATATATACCATTTGGCCCGGAAATTGCAGGCTGTACATACAATATAGCCATTGTTTTGTTATGCATGTTGTGTATAAAAATTCTCTTTTTTATATTCATCCTTTTGTGTATCTACAAGTTTTTTTCTGTTTTTTAGCAAAAGTGGTTTTTTTCCCCTGCTAGCTTTTTTTCTTTTTTTTGTCCAACCTATTTTTTAGCAAGAGTTTTTTTTCTTGCAATTTTTCCTCTTTTGCCAGTTTTTTTTTTTTTTTAAATTTTTTTTTTGTTTTTTTTTACTTATGCCGGCAATTCCAAAAATCCCTGAAACAAAAGCTGAATACCAAGCAATAGTGGAGTATCTTCACTTAAAAACGATACACGAAAATATTCTGAAAAAGTGTGCCAAAACAAACTTTATTCATCGATATACAAAATTTGTATTAGACAAAAATAGAGCCTTATACACTCCAGCTGTTGTAAAGAATGGTATCACATTTGAGAAATACTAGGTGGTCCCCAAGTATGACCAAGAACTACGCACCCAGATATTGTAGCATTTTCATGATCAAGCAAACCATCGTAACTATCACAAGATGTTTATCACTATTTCAAAACACTATATTAGAATTACACAGAAAGAAGTCCAAGCATATGTTAACAAATGTACCTCTTGTATGGTGAGTACTTAACTTAAAGAAAAGACTGATATGGTGCTAGTAGCATTTGCAGCACCGTGGGAACATGTTCAGATTGACTTGTGGACTTTCGTGATTATATGGAGATAAATGATGGTTTCACATAGTTATTTACATGTATTTGTGTGTTTTCAAAATTCCTTGTGGCTGTTCATCTTAAAAACAAGGAGTCTAATACTGTTGCAAATCACCTTGTAAAGGATGTTTTTAAGATTATGGGTCTCTCTATGATTCTCCAAAGTGACAATAGCAAGGAGTTTGTTATGAAAGTTCTTACCCAAATATGTGAGGCTCTGGATATTACTATCAGGCATGGTCGCCTCTGTCATCCACAATTGCAAGGCCAGGTTGAACGTCTTAACCAGACTGTTGGTTGTGGTTTTACCATAATGCTATGGGATAAAGAGAGTCAATTATAACAGAAAGACTGGGTTAATGTTGTTGATGCCTTCATTGTATTATATAATTCTTCCATATATGAAGCACATGGTCGTACACCACACCAGGTAATGTTTAGTTGGAAAATATGCTATGTTTATATTACCCCCGAAATGCAGAATATTTCTAAAGAGGTTGATTGTATTGACGTTGATATTACACCTGAGATTGTTGACCAACATATTTCATGTATGTTGCAAATTCAACAAACTGTCAATGCATCACTAGAAAAAACTCGGGATAAGATGTGTAAGAAGGGTAGTGTTTATAAAAAAAAGTCTCTGAACAATACAATTGAAGCTGGAACCATGGTTGCTATTGCATCAGATCATGATACAAACCAAAAAACACGAAAGCGAAAGCTTTAGCCAACATTTTCACAACAGGATGTGTTCAAAGCATTAACATCAAACAATCGCACAGCGATTTTAGAAGTAGATGGCAAGGAGATCTGAGTTCCTGTAAACAAAATCAAAGTTATCTAAATGAAAAAAAAAACAAAAAAAAAAACAAAAAAAAACAAAAAAAGAAAGATAATCAAAAAGAGATAATCTTAGGATTAGTTTAGTTCATTAGAGTTAGGGTTAGTTTAGGATACAATTATGAAAAATGAAAATATGATATTAGTAAAATGATATAAGAAAAAAAAGTTACAGGAATTGAGAATCAAATAGCAAAAAGAAAATTGAAAAAAAAGAAAAAGGAACTGAAAAAAAGAGAATCGAAGAAAAGAAGTCACAGGAATCAAAAAAAAGAAAGAGAATCGAATAAAGAAAAAGAGATCGAAGAAAAGAGAAGTAAAAAAGAAAAATAAACAAAAAAAAAGAAAATCGAAGAAGAAAAAAGAAAATCGAAAAAAATCGTATGAATTAGAATGAAAAAAATAACAAAAAAAAAACTGAGGTAGTACTATTATTAGAGTTAGGTTAGAGTCAGTGGTAAGACTTAGTAAATCTAGGATGATGTAAAAGATCAAAAATCTCAATGTTTTTAGCATCATATAACTTTATTGTAATAAATTACATGATACGTAAACTTCTACTGAAATGTGTTTTTTTGTAGTACACAAAAAATCTTACCTAGTACTAATTTCCAGGCCAAATAGTACATATGGCATGATTAATACGTGGCACAATCTACAATTTTTGGCCTGAAATATCACATATTATTTAATACTTCACTATGATCAGTTTATAAAATAAATCAATTATTTTATGGTATTTTTAAATGATAAAATAATTGAACTATTTCATAAATCTGAGATAGTAAAGCATAAAATAAAACCGTTATTGCATGCTCCGTATGCACTAACTGCTGTATTTTATATTCTCTTCTGATTGTTCGGTAACCCAGCCGTACCGGCTGGGTTACCAACCAATCATCATTGTCCATAAAATACAGCAGTTATTGTATACTTCGTATGCAATAACTATATAATATTCAGCATCAGCTGTCACATATAATATTTTGAATATTTTGATATAAAATAAATTAAACTATTGTAAAAAAAACTGAATAGATGTGAAATTTATTTAAAATATTTGTAACTTTTAATAATAAATAATATTTAGCATGCTATTCCAGTCATAATAGTAGTTAGATCATCAAAATTGGTTTAATATTTGCCAAGATAGCTTAATTAAAATTTATATATAATATTTTGAATAATTCAATATAAAATAAATTAAACTATTATAAAAAAAAGCAAATAGGTGCGAAATTTATCTAAAAAATTGTAACCTTTAATAATATATAGTTATTGCATACGGAGCATGCAATAACGGTTTTATTTTATGCTTTACTATCTCAGATTTATAAAATAGTTCAATTATTTTATCATTTAAAAATACTATAAAATAATTGATTTATTTTATAAACTGATCATAGTGAAGTATTAAATAATAAATAATATTTAGCAAGTTATTCCAATCATAATGGTAGTTAAATCATCAAAATTGGTTTAATATTCGCTGAGATAGTTTAATCAAAATTTATATACTGTATACTATTTCGAATATTGCACGGGTAATAGTAGTGCTAAAAAAGATGGAATTTTCTGCTGTCCTTTTTATTTTCTTTTTTTTGTCATTTTCTCTTTTATATTTCCCTTCATATATATTTTCTTTTTCTTTTATTTTTTTGTTTTTTCTTTTTCTCTTGTTTTTTTTTGTCGTATTTGTTTTCTTTTGTTTTTATTGTTTTATTTCCCCTATTTATATTGCCCCTTTGAAGAAGGAAAAATGTTAAGAAAAAGGCAATCTTGACAAAGCTAGCAGTAAGCTTATAGTGATTCTTTTGAGGAGCCATCTAGCAAGTTAGATGCCAAAGATAAATGAATTATTGTTGTGGCAGATCACACTTAGGCACCATTATGAGCAGCCGAGTGAGTCTTTATTGAAGAGTAGAAGGGTGGAGGACATTGAGTTTATTGCAGGCTTTTTGTTTCGAAACTATGTATTTAAATTACGCACTCCTAGTACAATAAAGGCAGGATTGCCAAAGGTTAAAAAAAAAAAATATAATAAATAAATAAATAAATAAATAAGAGTAACTTAGAGTTGCATCGGTCCTGAAAAAGACCGGTCTGGACTGGTCCTAGACCGGGACCGATAAGGACTGTGGAACTGTTAAAGGTCCGGTCCGGTCCCTGTAAACATAACAGTGATCTTTGTATCACCCAATCAAATTTCTTGATTAGGTATAATGTAGATCATATGATGTTTGTTTATATCCAACGATCTGTAATTACATCATTTTCGACCAATAAGATCTCATGCATTTAGAGATGATGTAATTATAGGACCATTTTGGGACCAATAACTAGACCAGACCAGACCGTAAATTACTATTTAATCAGTCCATTAGGGACTGGGACGGACCGGACCGGACCAATGCATCCCTAGAGTAACTTAAATAACTAGAGTAATAATTAAATAAGAAAGAAAGTAATATACGATCATTTTTACTATTTTACGAAAATATTTAATTTTGTTACATTTCCATTTTTAAAAGCGAGATTCTCTGAAGCATTAAGTAAGTTCCTCATATTCTAGGTAACGAACTCTAAACTGGTTTGGGTATATGGTAGGAATTTGTTATTATAGTCTTCATCGGTAAGATCGTCTAAAAAGTGTAAAGATATTTTCCAAGTTTGGTATATCTGTTCTGAGTTTCCTCCAAATACCTCCAGAACTCTTTTGGCTCCTCTGTATAATCGCCGTTCACATTTAATGCCATTACCTTCTACATATTCCAACCACTTGGCTCAGTTATTTTCGATTCTTAGTAATTCACCGAGATGGTACGAATTTGCTAATAGTCAGATGTGGTGTTTATCTTTCATGGCCGTTTGATATTTCTGGATCACCTTTCCTAGGGCCGTTTCCTATGAATTGTTTGTGGTATAAGGTGATAAGAATCTTAAAAGGGTCTGTTCTTCCAGTGAGTAGTAATCAATGACATTTTCGACGAGGTAGTTACGAGCCGATTGTTGCCTGATTACATAAAAGCGGGTCATTCTTTTAATGATGGTGGCTATGTTCTTGATTTTTTGATTGATCTTTCTCTCTTTTTTTTTTTTAACCTTTGGATCACTACTTTCCTTCCTTTCTTATATTTTGTAACAGCCTTTCATTCGTTAGTATTTTCTTTCTTCTTTTTCACACCATTACAATCAGCTCCCATAGTGGTCGTTCAAAATAGAGTTTAAGTCGATCTGCATTAACTGCCTTCTCTAGGACTTTGTCAGTGTCGGTGGTATGAAGTTTGTATGCGCCTAGTGCAATTAGGTCGTGTATGTAGTAGGGTATATGGTTATATCATCCAAGTAGACTAACATAAATTTTTCCTTCACATTGGTGAACAGACGATCTATTACTCTCTAAAAGGTCGCAGGGGTGTTAGTGAGCCCAAAGGGCATCACGTTAAATTCGAAAAGGCCGAATTTGGTGATGAAGGCCATTTTTTCCCGTCCTCGGGCCTGACATCTATTTGCCAGTATCTACTGGCCACATCCAATGTGAAAAACCATTTAGCTCCTTTCATGGTATCAAGGATTTCGTCTATTCTAGATAAGGGATACACATCTCGTTTTGTAATCTTATTTAGCTTTCTGTAGTCTATATATAATCTATTTTTCTTAACCAATACAATCGGAGACGACCAAAGGCTTTTGGACAGTGCGATTAACCCATGTTGGAGCATCGTCTGCAACTTCTGTTGAATAAACTCATGCTCTGCAGAGAACATTCGGTAAGCCTTTTGGTAAATGGAAAGTACGTTCTCAGTGATAAGCTGATACTAATCCATAGTTGTATGCCCTAAGTCATGTAAACCTTGCGAGAAAAGAAGTTTATTTTCTTCCAGAAAGCCATCCAGCTGCTGTTGTTGTTCAGTGGTAAGGCTGGTAGGTGGGTGTTTAATTTCCTCTATGTCTTCTTTTTCTGTGAAATATCGAACTACATTCCTCATTTCTAAACACTTTTTACATCCTACCAGTATCCTTGTACACCAACATTTTGTCTTTTTCAGATTCAATATTTTATCTATATCCAGTTCAAATCCTTTCACCATCATTTTTTTATATGAAAATCTATCCTCATTTATTTCTAAGATGTGTTTTTTTTTTATATCTCCTAATACCGCAAATCACCTTACTTCTTCTTATTCTAATTTTTCGTTATATTCTTCTTCTTCGCTAGATATCTCTTCTGGCTCTTTCTTTTTGTTATACTTTGGTTTGACAATAATAGGATCGCCATCCTGATACTGAGGTTTTTCTCAACAAGTAATTGGTATAGTATAAGCTTGATTCTTCCATTCATACTTAAATTCTCCAACCTTCAAATCGATAATTCCCTTTAGCTTGTTCATCCAATCCATGCTGACTATTATAGCATATCCTTGGGTGTTATTTACTTCTACATCAACTGGTATTTCTGTTTCGTTTATTAATTGTATGGGAGTTGCTTAATTTGTCCCAGTGATCTTTTCTTCCTGCCATTAATATCTACTATGTTACAATTAGAAGGATTTCTGATTTTTCTATTTAACTTATCCGCAAACACCTTTGACATCACACTTCGTATCAACTCTGTATCCAAGATTAGATAAAAGGGTATGTTATCCACTTTAGCATTACAATATACTATGTCCACTGCGTCTTGTTGTTTGCTTTCGACTGTCGTTATTAATAATAGTGCTTCTATTTCTTGTTCATTGTTGGCATGAGTCATACTACTTCTATGGTTTTCCACCAGTGAGGGTTCTGGCTTCAACTTATTTAATGATGGAATTGGGGGATTCAATTGTTCTATAGGTTGAGTTGGAGTAAATGAGGGTAGGTTATTAAATGAGTTATGATTAGTATGGGGGTTAGATGAGTTGGGATTAATGTTGGTAGAATTATTCTTATAATTGTCACTATTATCCGACTTTACAGAGTTTATTGAGAGAAAGGTACCACTACTCTCACGGTGTGCCTTTGTTAGTTTAAAGATTGAGCTGTAGTTCGAATGAGATCCTAAAGGTTATTCCTAGTAAAAGTGAAGTAAGTAGGAGTATTGTTACTATTTGTCTGCTCCTTATTGTTATTATGATTCCCCTCATTATTATTAGGGTTGGGATTATTGACACGTTATTATTGCTGTTATTATTATTGTTATGCTCATAATGGTTGTTGCTCTGGTTAGGGTAAGTGGGTTAGTTTTGGTGATTCCTAGATAGGCCGTTGTTCCGATGCGCAAATGGGAGTCCGTTTCCTCTCGGCCTATTAGAGCCTCAGTAACTACTATTATGGGGTCGATTTGCAGAACAATTCCGGGCTGAATGTTCTCTACCATTACATCATTGACATACCAGAGGGGGTGTAGTATTGGCAGGGGTGTGATAAGTTAGTTGAGGTGATGTTGTGAGAGTATTACCAAGATAGGACCTTTTTATGGCCTCCGCTAATTCTACAATTTCCTTCCTTAGCTTCGTTAATTCTGAGCTTTCAACTTCACTATCCCTATTTAGGTAACTTCTTCTTAGTGAGTATAAGCTTAGTGGGAAACCTTGGGAAAATGCAGCTTCAGCTGCCTTTGCCTTGGTAAGAGCTTGATCTATTGTAGTTGGGCAGGCTATTTCTACTGGCTCCCTTAGTTCCTCTCGTAAGCCATCTATAAACTGACACAGTTTATTGGTGAGAGGGTACCTTTCCTCTAGGTTGGCTTTTTGGTAAAGATGGTCAAGATCGGCATAATACTCTTCTATAGTTTTTCCGGGTTGCTGTACTCGACTTCTTAGGTCAGCTATCCAACAGGATTTTTGGTGTTGGATACAGAATTGCCTTTGGAAGAGGTGAATGAAAGAACAATTGAGTCTACAGCTCTCCCAGTGCCAAACCTGCTTAGCTACCTTCTTTCACCAGCTATTGGCGGGTCCTTTCAGATACGTGGATAGAATAGTAATCATTCTTTCTTCATTGATATTGTTGGCTTGGCAAGCATCCTCGTACTCCTCCATCTAACGGAGCAGGTCTTGTTCTCCTTCCTTAAATGTGAGAATTTTTACCAATTAAGTTTTCCTTTGGTGGTTTCTACTACTATTACCCTTTTTCATAGCTTTAATTAGCCTATTAAAATGGTACAACATTTGCTGCGCCAGAAGTTCTGGGGTATGGTTTCTGGAGAAATGCCCCTGAGGTTGACATGAGGATTTTGAGGTAGGAGGTTTGCCCTGTTACCAATGTAGTCGTCATTATCATTGTCTGTTCTATTATTATGATTACCATCGTTACTTTGATCGTTGTCAAGTGTAACTGGGGCTCTAGGTAGCGTAGGTTGGTTCTGATCAGGTCGATAGATAGAGGCAGTTCATGAGGGCCGAAGTGTAGCTCTAACTCTGGTGCTGGTGCCTACACCGATGCCATTGTCTTCTTTATCAGCATCTGTAACTACTCTTTGCAGGGGGTATATTTCCTTCGTCTTCTTCTCTCATTGCTGCCAGAGGGAATGTAGAGTCTATCTGACTCTTCCCCAGAGTCGTATTTATAATCGAAGTGCTGTGGAGTACCGTAGTTATAAGGTTGGTATTGCATTTTACTTCCATTCCACAAGTCAACATCTTCCATTTTATAGGTATGTAGGGGTGTTCCGTTTCGGGACTGGAGCTTTCGGTGGATGAGAAGGTAATGGGTAACTGGGTTTGTGCGAATGAAGTATCTGTATCCTCAAAAATTTAGATTCTGGGTAGAGTTTGGTTTATACACTAACGTAAGTTGGCGAACCTTTGGGCCTGTTTTAGTTGGGTCAAGATAAGGTCAGCTTGCTCTAGGGTTTGTTTGGTTAGAATAAACAATTCGTCTTCTTGCTTACAAGAATCCACTAATGCGTCTAGGCGTCTATTGAGGCTATATTCATACCAGATAGCTTTGTTGATTAGCTTGTTCAAGAATGGGTCAGGGCGATCATTCAAATTTGAGGTTTTATTATGTGTTCCAGTTAGTTGTTTGTTGTTTTGTTGCATTAACCTTATTCTTTTAAGGAAATCGAATCCTGTCGTCGTCGCCAATTGTTGCGAAAATTCCAGATACCCTATCAAGAATATTAGGAATTCGGATGAATAGGTGTCATAGGGACGTTTATTTTAAAGAAATTAGGTAGGTCAAATGATTACGAGTTTTTGGGGTTAACTTTGTAGATAGATTTATTAGATATTAAGAGTATGGTTCTGGGAATATCTCTTTACCAGAGAGAAAAAACTTCTCTTAAATATATGCATTACTGCAAGCTTGATAGATTGTATAGGTCGCAGCTAGATTGTCTAGTCTGCATAAGTAGTTGGGTTTATGGGTCGCAGAAGGACCCCGGACATCTCTCATATAGGTCATACTTGCACTTTAGCAAAAAGTCAAAAATTTGGCCTAAAGTCCGATTTTTAGTTTTAGCAAATTAATAATAATTTTAATAATAGGTTATAATTTAGCATTTTGTCAAAATTACATCAATT